CAGGAAATTCTCCGTCTCTTTCCGACAGTGGAAGACAAAACTCCCTTTGACGCAAATTACCCAATTTCCACTGTCATTTGTCATGCTCTGGGATTGAGCTGAGGCACAATAAGCCATCACTAAAGGCAGTACACCAGGCTGGCCCTGACTGGAGCAGCGCCCATTAGACAGGCCCGGTGGAGTCAGAGGAAGGGTTGAGAGGGCAGATGGGACCAAGGTGATGTATTATGCATGGGTAAAATCCATGCTCTGATGGGCCAGCTGAGGCCCCAGTTGGAAAGGGGCAGACTGACCCAGCCAGACCCATCACCCACCCACTCCCTCTCCAGCACCTCCTCCCAGTCCTCAGAGACTGAGGGCAGCCTGGTCAGCCATGACCCCTGGCACAGCTCCAGCACTAAAGTCAAAAACATGAAGAAATCAGTGCTTTGTGCTGAAATATTCATTTAGAAACTGTATGATTTCATACAAACGACTGGGGTACACTTATTGTAGACCCAGTGTAGATAAGGGGATTGGTCATTCAAGCTATAGTCACCGTTATCTTGTTTCTTTTTGGCTACTTGGGGCCAGTGGAACAAACAGTAAATTCAGCAGTGACATATTGTCAGTGAATAAGAACTACATGGAAAACACTATAAAAATGTATTCATGAATGCTGAAGACACAAAACACATTAACATTCATTGTGGGCCATGTCTCTGTCCACTCGACAAATTTAAGTTGGATATTCTCTCTACTCTTCGCTCGGTTTCTGTTTGGTTTGCCCATTTGAAGCTGCAGCAGTTTCTAAAGGCTGCTGTGATGCGTTCAATAAATAAATTAATCAAAACCAGTAAAAACAAGCGTATAGTGTGTCTTGATGTCTTTATTGTTGAAATAAACCTGGGAGTTAAAATGCTGGAAAATTATAACACAGATGATGAGCTCAGAAATCTGAGAGGAATGACAGGAATTGGCTTGAGACAGTAACTCAGGTGACTAGTGGTTACACCCACTGAAAGTGATCTACTTACAGACGATGACCAAACAATAAAACTGATAAAAGGCTGGTTTATACCACAGGACCGAATCCAGAGAATACCACAAAATCCACCATGAGCTACTTCAAGAAACACAAGATCATGGTGGGGCCATCACATTCCCCCAGCTGGACCACTGAAAATCTGTAAGTAGATCAGAAATGCAGTAAGTGTCAGGCAGCCTAAAAATATCTCAGAGCTGTTAGTTACCTGGGAGGAACACTTCGTATATCAAGCACAGAAAGCATTTGCAAGCTGTGATCAGCCTAATGTGTGGTTATTAAGTGTTCAGCAGCTTGTCTCTAACTTTGCCCGCCTGCAGGTATCAGAGCCTTTTTGCTGAGAACATGAAATCAGTGATGCTGAATCAAAATGAGCAGGTACACCAAGGTCTTTTAAAAGTGGGTAAATTCACTAAATAAGATGATGGACTCCATTTCCATTGCCAGAGTTTGCCTTTTCTGTTTTTCAGAATCCACCACATCGGAAACCAACCCCAGTGCTGTGTCGCAGTGTTGATTTTTGGAATAAAAAAATAAGAACACAAACGTTCACAGCTATTCATGCACCGCGCCTAGAAGTTCAATGTGCATCATGACGAGGAGTAAAAAGTATAACAATTGCGTCGAGAATATCACGCTCACTCAGGTGTCCAGTTTCCATCACTGCTGATGGGAGCCGATATAAATGCTGGTTGTATCCATTCCCACTGCAGACAGACAAGTTTTCTTTGATCAGTGGAAAATGGGCTTGAAGTTACAAGCAAAGGAAAACTAAACATTGAGCTGAAATCTCACTATACATATCATTTGACCTATTGTGAAACTATTAATCATTAAAGCTTGAAGTCAAAATTACCTTCTATTTAATTCCAAGCCACTCGTTTTTTTTTTCTTTTAGATAATATTGTATGCATGTCACTGAGAAATCTGCAGTACTTAAAAGGGAAACTTCACATCCATACAATATTGATTCCCTCAGAACAGCCGCCAATGATGGCAACACTGATCTGCTCTGTGCTGAATACATATTATAAAGGACTCTACATTACTGGCCTGTAGCAGAAATTTCACAAAATTAAATATTTATTAGATGTGTTTTTATATTCATGGTTTTTTATCTCGAATACTGTATTTTACTCCTGTGTGTGTGTGTGTGTGTGTGTGCCAGACGTGTCTGCAGCTCTCCACTGATGATCAGAGCAGAGTGGAGGTCAGGGGGAGTCAGATAGATCTTATTTATCAGTGTCTCCACTCAGTCACTGTCAAAGTCACCTTTACTGGCCTCCAAACTGCATCTACGTCCCCCTGTTTCCAAACTCCCTCACCTCCCCCCCTCCACTGATGACTGACAGCTGAGCTAATGTAGTCACAGTCGGGTACAGCACGGGGAGGGGGAGTTAGAGGGAGGGTCTGTGACAAAAGCTCTGTAGCCAATCTCCTCCCAGCTTGACAGCAGGATACACACCAGATGGGCCTGGACAACCAGGATCCACATGAAGCAGCTTTGCAGTTCGTTGTCTCTTGCAGGACAATGATAGAGGTTGGTTAAAATTAGCATGTTCTATTGATAGGCCATTAAACTGCAGTAAGGGGAGGATTTAGGATATTTGATAAACTGGTGGTTGAGTTAATAGGTGAGCTCAGCTGGCGAGGTGTCCACCCTTCAGTCACCGCAGTAAATCAGGTTGAACCAATCGGCAGTGTCCTTAGTTTATAAAACGATGCCAGTGTCTTTGGCCCCATACACAACTGGTATTAACATGTGGTTTTTGTGAGCCGATCTCAGGTGGACAGATCTAAGTACAGGTGTGATGAAGGACCTCCTACTTCGCTGACGTCCTCTGCAGTTTAAATTTTGAATCAAACTTGTTTTTCTCTTTTCCTTGATCTGTTTGTGACCAAGGATCACCACATAACGCATCATCGAGTTAAATGGCTATTGATGGAAATGGGATCATGGCAGGAAGAAACTAAAAACTATCAGTTATTCATGTGTTCTCTGTAGAAGGTTTGAAGGTTGGTGACATTTCCATCATCATTAAAAAACTCATAATATTCTTATAATTTATACTCAACTTAAAGTTTTTGATTTCTGGCCAGTTAAAAGCCAGAAATGTTCAGGTTCTGCATAGATAACATTGTATTTTCTTTGTGTTCTGCCGGCTCACATTAAATGGAGCTTTGTGTTGTGTTGGAAATTAGATATCCTTGAAGAGAGAAATTACAATTCAAACGAGTCCTGACTTCAAACTAAGATTTTTAGTGTCGGAGACAATTACACAATGAGACTTCATGAGGAAAAGAAGATAAAAATACTGTTGTTTGTATCTGTGAAATAACCATAAGAAGGTTTGAGCTTCTGTAAAAACAGTGACTCCTGAAAAACAACCAGAAAACAGAAGCTGTGATCAAACATTTAAAGTTAAAGTAACCATGTTGAAGATTTGACTCTGTGACCGTTTTAATTCAGCCACAATCTGTTCGAGCTCATGCATAACAATGTTCAGTATTTGTGTGAGAGAATATAAATGACACTGTAATAAAAAACACAACAAGCATATGCGTATTAAATCACAAACGGCTCAATCACGCTCTTGACATTGCTACTTCAGCTGGTCGCATCCTCCCTCTGATTGTTCATAGGAGTCTAGCGTCTCGACTCCTCCTCTTCCCTCACAAAGGTTGAGAACAAGAAGGGAGGGGGATTACAGGGAGGGCTGCCAATTATGTCACGTCCCCACCGTCTTTATTTGACGCAACAATAACGGTTCAGCTAATTCATTTGTACGTAGAAGGTGCCGCGTTAGCAGTCCACAAACAGTCGTCAGACGTTCTCCCGGCTGCTTACTTACTTATGATTGATGCTCTAGAAAATTCTGTTTTGAGGACACTGGGGTCGTCACTGAATAAGAGGAAAGAAGGGGAGAGACTCAGCACAGGGAGGGAGGGCAGAGCTGGCAAGAAGAAATAAATTAACCGGTAGAATATTTTCTCACACTATGTTCTGTTCAGTAGATCTGTCATCGCACGGAGGGAGTTTAAGTGGCAATTGACGCTGAAAGAGGAAATGTAACCTTGTTGTTGCACCCCTATTACACATAGTCAATAATTCCATTTCATCTGAGGCCCTTTGCTGGAGTAGCTTAGAAATAGCATCCGGTGTCTTCACAAACAATTTGTACCGGTGCAAAATGAAGTATGAAGTGTGTCGCAACAGCACGAGTCTGGTTTTCTCTTACTTCATGTCTTTCTTGACCTTTGTTCTCCAAGATCACATTATCTAGCAACAGCAAAGTGTGTCAGCCCCACATGATCTCAGTGCATTGCCCACTAATGATTACTGTCAAACTGATTATCCCTCAAGTATCCTTTCAGAGGCCATTGATCGTTTAGTCTATAAGACGTCAAACAAAATGATCCATCACAACTTTCCAAACACTGAGATACCGAGGAAAAGACTTTGTTTTGACAGATAAAATGTCCAAAACATAGAAGCCTTCATTTAAAGTTATATGGAACAAACAAAAGCAGCACATTTGAGAAGTTGGAACAAACAACGATATTGATTAATTTTCTGATTCGTCTTATGTTTTTACTGATTTTACAAACCTTGTTTTCGTGCAGTCATACGTGTCTGGAACTTAAAGGATCAGAGTCTCGGCCACTTCACAAATCTGTTTAACACCCTAAATGTCCGACCGAGCCATAAATGTGACACAGCAAGATTCACCGACACGCGGTGATAGAATGTGGTGACTTCATCCAGGATGTAAGACGAGAGCGAGAATAAAATCTTAATGCACATTACAGTCGGTCAACAGTTCACCACTCGCTCTGATTGCAACACTTTCATTGATATTAATTCACTTTGGTGGAGGTTTCACTGATATGAAAGCTGCTGTAAACAGAGTTTAGTTCTGCCTGAGCTCTCAAGTTGCTTGTGCCCTCGTGAATGTGCTCATGCCGTTTCTTGTACCTGAGCATCCACGAGGAGGTGCCTCATCAGGGTCATGGATTTCTGCAGGGTCTCCTTCTCTGGGGGAACAAAGGTGTGCTTCTCCTGCTCCAGGGGCTTGGGTCCAGGCACCATGAAGCTCGCAATCTGGTCATTCAGGCTGTTCAGAGACTGCACAGCTAAAGGGGAGACACAAAAATAAAAGTTGCCACAAATAGGCTGTGAATGTACAGAGCAAGTTTACTGTGGCGAATCCAAGTAAAACTGCTCTGAGAATAATTGATCCCACAAAGACAGATGGTTTTATATGAGGTAATTAAAAAATTAAAATGATAGGTTACAGGCAGGCTTAAGTGGATCATAAAGTGCCATCAGATACACAATCTGTCTTCCTCCTCTGCTCTTACTGAGCAGGAACAACAGAGATAACACAGTGGAAGACCTCGGTTTCCTACTGTCACACTGTCATCCACTCTCTCTGTCAACGCCCTCTCTGGCCCACAATGTTCCATGTCGGCCTGAGAGCCATCCTGTTTTTGTTTCCCTGTTCTTGCCCTTGTGTGTCCCTGGCAAACCTCTCCTTCCAGGTTTCCTCCCAGCTCAGCTCCCACATTAAAAATTAGCCAGCCCTAGTGTATTTCCTCCTTCTCCTACTCACACACACACACAGACTTCCTCAACCCTCTCCCATTTACCATTAATCCCCCTTAGTCTTTGAAAGGTCACCACAGCTATTTCCGAGGCCACCAACATGGTGGAAATGTTGGATAAATGAAAGGGTCGAAGGAAAAGCAATTTCCATATTTTTGTGCCTTTTTAGCATAAGTGTCTTTTGTATTTTTCATGAGATACTGCACCATCCCCTAATGCCTCATTATCCATCTTTGCAGCATTTAAACTTTAAACTAAAACCTCGAAAGTTACAGCTCTGTCAGTTATAAAGGAAGAGATGGATGCAACCATAGAGCAGTGACCTCATGTCCAGAGGTCATCTGATGCCGACTTCATCATGCACCGACACATTTTTGCCAAATAAAGACATCCAATCTGCTAAACCCATATAGAGTAGGGGGATTTTAAGCCAAGAATGTGCATATAAGGTCTTTTCAGGATGCACATATAAAGCCTCTTTCACACACACAAGCCCACGCAAAAAAGAGAGCATAGATTAATGTGTTACATAACCCCACAGGAAAAAACGGAAAAATTAACAGTTGCTGACATTTCCAAGCAAACAAGCTTTCAGGAAGAAATTTGACAAGTCGGCACCGGAGGCAGCAGCGATAAGAAAGGAGCGAGGGGGCTGAGGAGGAAGACTGTGTCCCCTCGAGGTGAGAGTCGAGGAGACGACGGATCTTTGATTGTGTGAGAGCTCTGGTTGTCGGCCGACACTCCTCAACACGTGAGAAGGTGAACAACAAGAATCTGTTTATATTTGTTTGTGGTTGATTTGACTGCAGAGGAGCAACACTCTCTTTGCACTGAGAACAAACATGGAGTCAAACTTGGAAAAAAACCTTCTGACTTCTTCACTGGAGATTTGGCAGAGGGGAGGATTCAGCTGCTTACTCTTGGCGCCCTCTCCTGGACAAACAGTGACCATGCAAGCAAGTGGAAATCAATATCAAAATTTCCAGTTCTGAGCTGGAACAGGTTTTATAGTTTTGTGAGCCACCTCACAGCTTTGAGATATACAGGAAATACTATGATACTAAAACACACCAGATGGAAGAGCAGTTAAATGTATTTTATAGAATTAGCTCTGGTTGTGTTATGTGGGATAAGCAGTTGCAATATCTAATGGGCAACAAAGTAAGAGATTGGCAATAAATTGTTTCTTTGCAAAGCCAATAATGTATTCATTCAAATATAGAGCTTGATGATAAGGCCAAAAATAGCATGATGCTAAAAAAATATTAGTCTTAGTTGATATTGATAATTATCTCTATAAATTTAACAGTATTATTTCCTGGCAGATTTTTTGCTCCTGAGTAAAGGTTGAGGTTTTATGATCAGAGAATGATAAACATGTTTAAAGAAGTCAAACAAATCTGATGTTAATAGATAACATGTAATACCTCCTCACTGTCATGATTTATGCTACATTGATGTGTTGGAATATCTGTTGTGTTTATTACTTATAATGTTTTATCGATCAGCACTGTTTGAATAACCATCTACTGTTGAGGTTCTACACTGAATTCCTGAGTTTATTAGGTACTACTGAAGTAAATGCAATCTACTAGGACTGTCTTGCAAATCAGTCATGAAGGTTGTAATGTTAAGTTTCAGTGACAACCAAGTGTTCAAACTGAATTTGATCATGTAATCGCAGAAATGTCAAATATTTATAACATGCTAATATTTATATATGAAAACATTTACCTTCTGGAGAATCATATGATTTCACAGTTAATGAAGACCTTTAAAAAATAAAAGTCCTGTTGTGTAAACATCACTGTTAAAATCTAACTTCAATTTTATTGATCATTCAAGCTGCTTCATACACCGTGCACTGAATCAATAGAGATAATTTGCTGCAGTATGGTGGGTCACCCACACAGTGACCTATAGACTTGATATTAAACCTCAGACAGCACAGACAGGCTAATCAATACTGTGATCTTTACGCCATTGGACATCCAGGTACAACCACATGGTTTGGAAGCTTCACATATCATTTCACATGACATGAACTACTTTAATGAAGCACACGCCCAAAGGGAGTATCACTAATAATCTATTCAGAACATCCTACACACTTAATCAGGGCGTCTGTCTCTCATGCTGCCACAACAGACCAAACATCTTTGATTATTGATTATAGATTCTAACATATTAGACAGAACAAATACACAACTGTGATAAAGTGACACTGCTGATAATAATAAAATACAACAAAACACACGGGGCTGTCATTTTTTCTCCTTCATCTGAACACTGCAAGAGATTTCACCTGCAGGTTGCCTCAGCTAATGGGAGGAGAAATAAGAATAAATTGCCCTAGTTTCATTACAGTGGATGCACAGAGAATAAAATCCTCATTCTGGCTCAGTGCTTGTTCTTTTTCTGTCTATTTTCCTCTTTGCCCTCTCTTTTGCTGTCACAGCAGCACAGGCAAATCTGTGAGTGCCTTACACGTCCTCCTGTAGAGCAGGAACAGCACAACAAATGAGGAGGAGAGGCCACAGTGGCACCATATCAGGCTTTTATCTCTTCAACTCTGGGTACAAGGGGAAATAAGATCACTACTGGTGGGAAAAAAGTCAGGCTAAAGTCTGGATAACAGGAGCTTATTTCGCAGGAAATTGTGCAGAAATGTTGAGAAATGAGCTGAAATCCATGTCTGGGGTTGTTCTGAGGTCAGACTTACACTTGCTGCATTGCACGGAGCAGGAAAAGGTCACACTCATCCAAACCTTGACTTAACAATGCACAAAATGTGTCCGCAGGATGTAAAATAGTGTGCAGCTGAGGACAATATTTTCAGTTGTTTATTGTTTTCATCAATTTGAATGTCTTAACATGTTCCTGCCTGAGTAATAAAGCAGTGAATATTCCAGCTGAAACGTCTCCATATATTTCCACTTCTAATGGGTTGTCTGGAGTGGCTCTCTGGTTTTACTTCACCTCCTTGTAATGCAGAGTTTACCATATTGATTTATCATAGAAAAACATCTCCACAGGGTAAATGAGCTGGTTTGGTAGTAGGAGTGCAACACAACACTGCCCCCTATAGATAGCAATAGAACACTCCAGTATTAATACTAGTGTTTGTTTAACAGCACCACCACTGCATTAAAACTACACTGTGAATGCAAATCAAATCACTGTTCCTGTTTCAGCTCATGAAAAAAGAAAGAAACAAATGGAACATTTATCTTTAAATTATTGTCACGTCTAAGTCCGGCCTGTTAGTGTGAAAATACAGGATGTTGAGGCACAGTTGTGTCTCACGAGGGATTCTTCAGAGCCATGTGACGATAGTTTCAGTCCATCACATTACATATAAGTGGTGTTATCACTGCTCCACACATGATGATGAAGTGTTTTCAGAAGTGGCTCTGTGGGTTTGGAGAGACGAGGCTGGTAGGAGATATGGAGAGCCATCGACAGCAAACACTGTATAAATCTATGATTTTTCTGGTTGATATGTGGATCAAAATGAAAGAAATTTTCGGATATATTTTAGCAAGAACAGAACTGAATTCAGTGAAGTAAAATGATGCCATCAGGGTTTTGTCTTTCATTCCTTTCCTGGTAATGTTCTTATTAAGGTTTTCCAGATATAATATCATAATCTATCAGCAGACAGTGTCGTGTGACAAACAGATGACTGAAAATTACTGTCTATACTTTTCCCAGCCATGAGGGTCCCATATAGACATGTGTGTTAGCATAGCATTCTATAAAATGCTGATCAACAATAAATGGTAATTCATTCAAGTCTCATCAAGGGAGCTGAAATTATTTGAGGAAACTTAATTTAAAACCATTTAGTTTAATTCAATTTAATGCACCAGAACACAAGGACTAAAGGAAGAACGTTCCTGGACTGAAAGGCAAATCTATCTTAATGTAATGTAAACTGAATAAGCTAGTTAGATAGTTAGATAAAGCAAAAAAAATTGATTGTGCTGCATTGTGCTTCTGGATATTAAAATGGGAGTTTGATACTATTCTGTAGCTTTTCATAGCTTAAGGCATTAATAAAGTAAACAATCATATTTATACTAAGAATCACTATTTGCAGTTTAATATCAAGCAAATATTCAAAATATTAGCTGGCTGCAGCTTCTCAAAAGGTAAGAAATAGAAAAAATGTTGTCACTGTAATTTAATATCTTTGGATTTTGGCTTGATAGGTCCAGAGTTCTTTGGACTAATCGATTCCCATTTGTTTAACCTTAAAATAATGAAGTACTCAATGTAAATGTATGTAAATAATCATTACCGAATATTTGAAGACCCACTGCATTCACAGGCACTGGCAAAAATTAAGCATTCATGAGCAAACCACATGCACACATCAAGAAGAGGTAGAGTCAGACAACTTTCCACCTACAGTCTCCACAAAAAGATTTGAGATGCTGACAATAAAGAGACAGAGATGATAAAAGCGGTGAGGAACACACATTACTAGTTTAATGGGGCCGAACTGCGGGCGTTTCAGTAGCTG